GTCATGCTTGCTTGCTTGCAGCGGCGTTTCTCAGCAGCAACTAACGCAGTGCGACGTGGGGAGCTGCTCCGCTATCGGGGAGATCGCTTCGCACAATGCCGCTGCCGTGCCCTCCCGCTTCTTTGTGAGCGTGCGTGCGCGTGTGTGGGCGTGCGTGCAGGTGTGTGGGCCGTGTCCGTGCGGGCATGTCTGTTGTATGGGTCGGCCCTCAAGCGTGCCGCATGCTGGGTTGGATAGGAGTCGATGGAAGCACGGAGGAGGCTAAATAGTAGTTTTACAGGATGCGTCGCTGCACTTGGGTCAACGATGGTACAGCTACTCGCGGTGCGCGATGTGCGTAGCAATATTCTATGTTCGTCTCGATGGTGATACCAAAACAGGTGCCGTTGCTTGAGCCAGCGGGCTGGCTAATTCGGCCCACAGTAATTTTATCCACTATCTCAATTTGCCTGGCCTTCACGCGTACAGGAACATGCACTTGGGATACACCAGGATCCTTCTACGAGACAATGTTCTCATGTCTGCCAACCTCAATTTGCGTAGCGAGTTATAAAGAATTATTCAGTAAGTGACGTAGATCTCAGATTCTACACATTGTCGACCAAGTATTGGCGACTAGCTGGAGTAAAACTATTACTACGCAAGCATGGATTGACATTTCCATACAAAATCGTTGCCTACGCTCATGCATTAAGACGTGAGCATTAAAAGCCTATCAAATGTGAGAAATCAAATATAATATCATAATCAATTATTAATATCTAATCTAAATGAAGAAATTGGGCTCAATAATTGCTGTACTGCTAACTTACTAGATGTTACTTACTATACGCAACCATTATCTACGCTTACTGATCTCTGCTATCGGTGTGGCCTCGCGTTCTATGGGTACAGTTAGCTGTCAGGTACGTGTATCATTTGCAGGTGAGCGTAGCGCGGTAGGTAGTGCGATGCGGTTACGTTGCTCGGGCACGGGAGCGGTTCTTTAGGTATTTTCTGGATACACATTATCGGGAATTCTTCAGATTGTGTTTGCCTCACTATACGTATATATTTCTTGCGAGGTGGACACATTCAAACAGGATAATCACTGAAGGAAGCGTCTGGTTGGCCAAGTTTCAGCTTTGATACTTCGTACACGCTCGCTCAGCTCTCACCATCGAAGGTATGTCTTTATCGTATTAGTCAATATTGTGCGCTCCAAGAAGGAAGTTTGTGGTTGAGGCGAAAATTATATTCGAAATGGAGGACGAGTTGTTGTCGATAGGCTCTTCACAATATTTGAATATTTTTATTTCATATACACTATTTGCCTTCAGTGGTCTCAGCGACTAGATCTCTTAGCTATCGATGAATTGCACTAATATCACACACCACAAGGATGGGCTAACAACTACCGCGACACTACCCACAATAGCAATAAATAAATACAGCACACGTATAGATTTTTTTACAAGTTTTTTCATTGACGGGATGTCAATGATGGCTAACCTATACTGTCATTATTCTCGTGGCAGGGTGAAAGCAAAAGGCAATGCAGACCTCTAGCAAATTTTGTTTGCTGATGATACGTTCCCCGTGGAAAGCCATTACACCTCTAGAAAACTTCTCAGTTCACGCACAGATTATAATTTTTTTCTGCATGCCTATTTATTTTGAGCCAAATGATTATTTCCTAATGATTATTTTGAGGCATTCGCATTTCTGTTTGGTGACTGGTTTTTTACTCAGAGTGCACCGACCAGCGCACGCCGACACACCACAATCGGCACTCACTACACAGCAACCTGTTGACGACCGCGTCGCCCACACAGGAAACCCATTCACACAACCACAACGGCACACAGGTACATGCGCATATCCCCGCGCGCTACTCCAAAGACGGTAACAGCAGGTAGATTACGGCGCTCAGCCGCCACACGCGCTCGCGCAGCGCGGCGCACAACACACACACGACGCACACACCCATCACCACACACACACACACGGCGCGAGCGCAGCGCGGCGGCTAGTGTGCGGCCGGCGCGCGCGTAGACTCGGCAGCACCAACGACGAACGGTACAAATACTATACTACACATAATAATACACTGTGTATATCATCACGAAATATGTTTTAAATGCATACGTCAATGTCTACGCTTCTAAAAGAACCTAGCTACATAGTGTGTCTCAGTTTTCGAACCCTATCCCTGTTTTCCTTATAGAATTCTAATACTATTCTATCGCCTAGGTTTTATCATTAATCAGTGCTATGCTAGATTATGAAGTAATATGTTTAGTGTTAGAAAGCAGAAATTACGATTAACACGATTTACATCTTCCACTTATGGATATTTACAACTTTCATTATATAGAGGGTTCACTATAATAGCTTAGCTGCAATTATTCTGAAAATGTGCATATTGTTTGAAATCATGCAGCAAGTGTCTGTTTGAAATTGTCACCCATTCATCGATATTACCAGCACGCACAAGGCTGCAAGGCACGGCATATTGTATTTATATAGCGTTGGATGTTACATTGAATAAATGCTACGTTATGAGTGTTGGAGGCGTGCCAAGACCTATGCACTTTTGCAATGGTTTATTGGAATACAGGTCTAAAAATAAAACTGGTGAGTACATGATGCGTTTTACGTACATTCATTCATATTTCACTGCATTCATCTGGAGGTCTTGTTAACTGAAACACTCTTACCTACGGCGCCATAACTCTAAAAATGGCGTAACATTTAAAGTGAGGCGGCGCACAATAGATATGGCATTTCAGATTCCCGATGGGTTATTTAAGATGTTTCTGACAACCGGTCTATGATACCTATCTGTGCTCACGGGTGCCTGTATGGGTGGTGCAGGTACACACAGTAAAATGCAGAACCATAAACAGCGTTACAGTAAAATCTTGACCAAATATTACTGTTGGGCGATACCCCGAATTTCACAATCAACTAACCAAATAAGATATATGTAAGTTAGCGAATAGTTAGTTTTAATATGACGAATGTATAACTGCAAGGGTTTAATACGCGTTTACATGATTTTGAATGGTTTCACGTTATAATAGAATATGAAAGATGCATTAATATCGTGCGCCAAAACAATATAAATTGTATAAGTATCACTCTAAATAAAAACAGCGATCCAAGGCAGTTATAGATATGAGGTTCAGAAGTGGTTATAATTACTGGTAATTATTTGTACAGCAACTTTTACGATACAAACCTGAACTCACACACACGCATTCATGAAACGCACTCCAGAAACGTTACGAGGGTAATGTAAAAAAGAACGGAACTGTCGCATTGTAATTACCCAGCCTTATGGGCAAGACTAGTATCTTGTAAATAGTGAGTGATAGCAAAGCACCGAGGCCATGTGTCAGAACAAAAAATGGTCTTAACTTTCGTCTATAACCTTTTTCGTAAACTGTTGACAGGAATTTAGCTTTCCGTAAAAGTTAGGAGGAACTTGGTAGGATTTATGCTCGAACTTTACGATGTGTTTCTAAATGGTTTACTGCTAAGAAGCAATTAGTTTCTAACAAGGTCGCCTGCTATTTTACATAACTTTGCAGTGACCTATCACCGGATGTGTGTAACCCCGTCATCTGAGAACGATGTGTGATTGATTGTTTTAGTTTATAGTTCACGGATAGTAGAAGATAAAATTATGTATGACAGATAGTTATATATTATTATAGACATTTAATAACGCTTTTAATATAATATTTTATTGTAAATACCGTGTGTGTGTGTGTGGTGTGTGTGTGTGTGTGTGTGTGTGTGTGGTGTGTGTGTGTGTGGTGTGTGTGTGGGTGTGTGGGTGTGTGTGGTGTGGTGTGGTGTGTGTGTGTGTGTGTGTGTGTGTGTGTGTGTGTGTTGTGTGTACCGTGTGCGTCGATGTTTGGGCGTTTGTCTGTGTTTTTGTGAGTTGCTCCTGTATGTGTGTACGTGTGTGTTGTGGCGCGCGGTGTGCGTGTGTGTTGTGCGTGCGTGTGTATTGCGTATTGCATATATGAACGCGCGCGTTGTGTTGGCATGTTAAATTTGTTGTGTGTGTAAAATCCTACCACCTTATGGATATTTACAACTTTCAATTATGTAAAGCAGGGCTTCACAACATATGCGTTCAGACGAAATTAACATCCTAAAAATAATGCCAGACAAGAGCTTACTCTTTCTTCAAGTCTACTATTCTGATATTACTTTTACAATAAATAATCTATCTAACTTTAAAAATAACTATAAAAAATATAGGAATTTCATACTAGATATAAGATACGATTAGAAGAATGGGACGATGAAATGGAACAACCCACATATAAGTAACCGCCAGACAAAACAATATATTGTCGTAACCAACCCAGCTATTGACCCATCAGTCAGACGTACTCCGCCATCAATGAACAATACACCGGTTCACAATTATACCCCACTCATTATACTCACCCCTATCTCTAATCGACTCTATCAGGTGTGCTCGCGCATGTAGTAGTATGATTCTTTTGTTCATTACTAAATTGTTGTTTTTGATATCGGGATACTATAGCGCGATGCAAATAAATGTTTGTATTACAAATGTGAACATATACTTTTATTATTCGAAGTTTTGTGGCGCGAATATCAAACTATCTTTTTTATTTATAAACTACCGCGCTGCGTGAGCGGCGCGCGGGCGCAGCAGGGCGCTGGTGTGTGTGTGTGTGTGTGTGTGTTGTGTGTGTGTGTTGTGTGTGTGTGTGTGTGTGTGGTTTGAACCAATAAATCATATACTATACCTGTTATAAGTAATAAGACAAAAACAGACATGGCTGTAGGTTCAAATTTCACTATCACTTACTTGACGGTACGCAAGAACGGCCACCGGAGTAGTGCATGCATGCTAGAATGTGACATCACTTTGTGCAACAAAAACGTTTTTTCAAAACACCTTGTAGTAAAGTTGCATTTAAAAACAATAATCTCTTATGATTTTAGTTTGTTTAATAGATTTCAGCACTAATAATACGAAATTCGACTTATTCACGTAAGCAATATTGCATGCTCTAATGACGCACAGACGCATGCGCCGAATCAAAGAAACGACGAGAGTCACTCTGCAGTTCACAGTGTAAATGTTGCTCCCGACACATAAACGCGAGATGCTTTTCCTAT